TTAATATTCTGAAAGTGACTACACAAAGTAAAAGATTTATACACACAAAACTATATTGGGAGCTGGAATATTTGTGAAAGTTTTAATGCTTACTTTTTAAAAATGTCTCAAATAGTGTAAGAATATGTATTTTAGATTTCCTGAATACAATGTAATTAATCATTCTTTTGTATTGTTGAAGATGAAGAAAGATAAAGCATATACCATAAAGGCCATAAGTAAGAATAGTAAGAATAAAAAGAAAGCCATACATAATTGGATTGAATACTAATGTCTGCTTTTGAGCATATATATAAATAATCACCAACTCCCTTATAAAGTAAACACAAAACTGAGTTTTATTTTTATTACATACAGTAGTATCTATGTTTTCAGAATATTTTGATTGAAAATTAGACATAATAAAATGAATATAACAATTAACTTTAAAATCATTAAGCTATTTTTTGTTTCGATTTTAGGAATATTTTGATATACAGTGGATTCCGCTTAATTGGGACACTGGTTATTCAGGGCAGCCGCTTTATTGGGCCAAATCTAAAAGAATGGAAGCCAAACTAATAAATTATTACATAATTTAATCGCTTAATTGGGACAGTAGCAGAAAAGGAATTTAGCGAGTTTTGATATATTTTATCCAATATTGAATAGAATTGAATAGAATTGATTTTTAGTAATCTTCCAAAAATATGCAGGCACTATGTACACTAATGTTGTGTAGGTCTAACAATTGGCAGAGACAAAGCGATTTTGTCTTGCTTGGGCAGTTTGGTTTTTCTGGAAAGAGTTGGCACAGCGGGATGTATCACATGGGGATTTTGTCTGAGGTGGGCCTGAATGCGAGTTACTGACCCTGCTCTGGATTTGACTGGACGATCCCCTTAAAAGCAAAGGGACAAAGGCCACTGGACAATTTTTTGAGGTCTCTCTCGACTGAGTTGGAAGACAGCTAGAATTCCCTTGGAAGGTATTGCGTGCATAATTACGTCTAGATTCAGACAGCAGTCATCCTATTGTTGAGACCAGCATCGCACTGGCGGCTTCTACGGACACTCCTGCCAAAGTGGCTCATCTGCAAGTAAAGGAAACTGTGCTCAAAGAAAGACCGTAAAATGACTTTTGGACAAACCCTTTTCTTTCTCCCTTTTAGTTAGGATATGTTCTAACTAAAAAGAAAGAAAGGAAAAATTGTTCGATCAGAAACGGATCGAATGGTCAACCCTTGTTTATGTCACTACTAATACAGTGGAATCCTGGTTAACGACCAAATCGGTTAACAAACTTTTATTTTGCAAAATTTTGTCTCAGATAACAAACTTAATGGCTTTTTGTGTCAAATTTGTAAGCTTGCTTTCACGAAACTTTCTGAACCACTTACGACACGTGGAATCATCAACGGCTCCCTCACCATACACAGAACATATCTTTTTTTTGTGTCTGCAAAGCATTCCTGCCTTTTTGGAAATAAAAAAGCATAATATGTCAAAAATGCTCCTTATTTTCTGCCATTTGTAATGCTTAACAAAATTTTAAAAACACAACTAAGTAACACAACTTTATTCTCAAATACTAGCTGAGATCCCTTTTGTCAAACAACATTGAAATTTTACACATGTGAAGGAAATAACACTTCAGTATTACATTTTTAGCCAGCTGGTGCTAAAAACAAGACAAACTTTTGCATCAACCCAATAGTTTCCAGCCATTCTGGAATCTCACAAATTTCAGTTGCTCTTAGGCGTGCGCAAGGTAAGCATTGCTTTTTCAAGTGTGTTAAACTTCGTTTTTTAGTTTTGTTATTTATACTGTATATTTAATCAATATGGCACCGAAGAAAGAGAAAAGTGACAGTGGAAATAGAAAACGTTTTAGTGTATCATTAAAGAAAGAAATTATTGCAAAATACGAGAATGGTATTCATGTTTCTGACATTGATAAAGAATATAATTTGGCAAAATCGACCATCTCTACAATTATTAAAAACAAAAAAAGCATTTAAGGCTGCCGAAGTGGCTAAAGGAGTGAATGTGATATCGAAACAAAGATCTAAAGTTTTAGATGAAGTTGAAAAACTGTTGCTGATATGGATCAATGAAAAGCAACTTGCTGGAGACAGTGTTAGGGAAGCTATAATTCGTGAAAAGGTTAAAATTTATACAATGACTTGTTGACCCAGACACCCAGTACAAGTGCAGACAGGCAGGACTTTAAAGCGAGCCAAGGGTAGTTTGCTAGATTTCGTCGACGAATTGGCATTCACAGTGTCATAAGACACGGGGAGGCTTCAAGTTCAGATGAAAAAGTAGCAAAAACATTTGTAGATGAATTTACAGAGTTTGTAAAAAGTGAAGGATATGTCTGGAATCAAGTGTTTAATTGCAATGAGACTGGTCTTTTTTGGAAAAGAATGCCTAGACGAACGTACATAACCCAAGAAGAGAAAGCACTTCCCGGGTACAAGCCCATGAAGGACAGATTCACTCTTTTATTTTGTGCTAATGCAAGTGGTAACCTCAAAATCAAGCCACTTTTAGTCTACAATGCTGAAAATCCCCATGCCTTTAAGAGCAAAAATGTGATAAAGTCCAAACTGCCTGTACAATGGAAGGCAAATATTAAGGCATGGGTAACTTGGATTTTATTCACGGATTGGCTCACAGAAGTGTTTGCTCCTACTGTTAAAAATTATCTTCAGGAAATGGATCTTCCTCTTAGATGTCTTCTCTTAATGGATAATGCTCAAGCACATCCACCAAATTTGGAGGACGACTTGGATAGTGAACATGACTTCATCAAGGTCAAATTCCTTCCATCCAACACAACTCTATTACTGCAACCAATGGATCAGCAAGTGATTTCCAATTTTAAAAAGCTGTATACCAAGGCACTGTTTACCATGTGTTTTCAGGTTACCAATGATACCAACTTAACTCTTAGAGCTTTTTGGAAAGAGCATTTTAACATCCTGCATTGTATCAACCTTATTGACAAAGCCTGGAGTGAGTCTCACCGCACTTTGCAATTGGCCTGGAGGAAACTTTGGCCAACTTGTGTCCCAGAGCGAAACTTTCAGGAATTTGAAGAAGAGAGCTCTCCTGATGTAGTGCATGAAATCGTGTCCATTGGCAAGAGTTTGAGAGTAGAGGTAGATGATGAAGACGTGGAGGAGTTGCTGAAAGACCATCAAAATGAACTAACGACAGAAGAGCTGGTTGCCATGCAGGAAGAACAGATGAAAGTCTTACAAGAAGAGCATTCGTCAGAGGAAGAGGCTAGGGAAGAAATCACCAGTGCTGAGATCAAGAAAATTTGCAAAAAATGGAATGATGTGCAGGAATTTATCGAGAAGCACCATCCTAACAAAGATGTCGCTAATAGGGTCGTTAATTTAATGAACGACACTGTGCTAGTGCATTTTAGAAAAATTTTGATTAAGAGAGTAAGACAATCAACTTTAGACCACTTTCTTGTTCCTTATCAAAAGAGACCTCGACTCAAAGAAACTCCCGATGCAGTGCTATCCGATATTTTTATGGAGGGGATTCCTCTTCCAAACATTAAGCTCCGTAAAAACAAAGGTATGTACAGTGCTACTTTATTAAATAAAGTTTACATATTTGTTGCTGTAATAATAGATACTACGTTTTCTTATATTTTCATCAAAGAAAACCCATTTTACAAATAAAATTACAAAAATACTGACGGCTAGAACGAATTAATTGTATCTGCATTAATTTCTATGGGAAAAATTGCTTCGGTTAATGAACAGACTCGTGGAATGGATTACGTTCGTTAACTGGGGTTCCACTGTGTTTGGCAACATTATACAAATCAGTTATTTATCGTCGTGAGTCTGGCAAATTTATAGTACAAATATTTTCTGTATTTTGGTTTAATAAAGCATTAAAATAGGTACCAAATTATAATTATTATTTTTTACCTACTTATTTATTTACCTACGTATTACATATTTTATTATACAATTTATTATTAGTTTGTTTAATTGGGGCAACCTCTTAATTGGGCCAAAATGGATTAGTCCCAATGTGTCCCAGTTAAGCAAAATCCACTATATTGTTATTTTTAAGTGCAATTATTTATTTATTGAGGATGATATTGTCTAAAAAGCATACAAAAGAAAAAGGAGTATAATATTTATATTTTACCATTATTTATGTTATTAACTATCATGACTACAAGGACTGATAGAGTATGGTGTGGTTAGAAAGGGAATAATTATAGGCTTNGTGCTAGCGCATTTTAGAAAAATTTTGATTAAGAGAGTAAGACAATCAACTTTAGACCACTTTCTTGTTCCTTATCAAAAGAGACCTCGACTCAAAGAAACTCCCGATGGAGTGCTATCTGATATTTTTATGGAGGGGGGATTCCTCTTCCAAACATTAAGCTCCGTAGAAACAAAGGTATGTACAGTGTTACTTTATTAAATAAAGTTTACATATTTGTTGCTGTAATGATAGATACTACATTTTCTTATATTTTCATCAAATAAAACCCATTTTACAAATAAAATTACAAAAATACTGACGGCTAGAACGGATTAATTGTATCTGCATTAATTTCTATGGGAAAAATTGCTTCGGTTAATGAACAGACTCGTGGAATGGATTATGTTCGTTAACTGGGGTTCCACTGTATTTGGCAACATTATGCGAATCAGTTATATATCGTCGTGAGTCTGGCAAATTTATAGTACAAATATTTTCTATATTTTGGTTTAATAAAGCATTAAAATAGGTACCAAATTATAATTATTATTTTTTACCTACTTATTTATTTACCTACGCATTGCATATTTTATTGTACAATTTATTATTAGTTTGTTTAATTGGGGCAGCCTCTTAATTGGGCCAAAATGGATTAGTCCCAATGTGTCCCAGTTAAGCGGAATCCACTATATTATTATTTTTAAGTGCAATTATTTGTTTATTGAGGATGATATTGTCTAAAAAGCATACAAAAGAAAAAGGAGTATAATATTTATATTTTACCATTATTTATGTTATTAACTATCATGACTACAAGGACTGATAGAGTATGGTGTGGTTAGAAAGGGAATAATTATAGGCTTTGATACTAATGCATATCATGAAGTCTGCACAGTTCAAATTCTAAACAAAGATCAAAATCAAAGCAATTTTTATCAGGTGTTCCTTGATTTTATTCTTTCCAATAATTTAGAAATTATAAATCAGGGAAATAAGCCAATCTTCATAACTGTAATAAGGAAGGAGATTATATCAATATTAACTTAACAAATATATAGATAAGTAAGTATATTAGAAGTGATGTGTTGATGAGGTTTGGTGTTTAATCACCAACCATACTTTTTGAGATCGATTCCGAGGTAAATAGTGAATGACTGTTCAGACACTAAAAGAGAAAACTCAGATCACTACCAGGGGAAAGTTGAAAGTCTTCTATGCAGAATTATTTTGAAGCTCAAAGACACACATGATCTGGAAATGGCCACTGATGTTTTTCAGCAATCCATTATAGAGTCTTATAATAACTGCCCATTGCTGGCAAGAAAGCAAAGGAAGATAGTAAGGTAGCATTTTAGGAAAGTTAAGCTGATGGATGAACAGGAGTTTATATGAACTCTCTGAGAGAGTATAAATTAGGTATAAATAGAGAATCAGGCTATTGATCGAGCCCATAGATTGGGAAGATCTAATCAAGTGACTGCTAGATGCTATGTAACTGTTTTAAGCAATGAAGAAAAAAATCATGCGTCTTAAAAAACATAAGCAACAGCTTTCTCAAATCCTTATGGAAGATTTAAGCAAAGTAAAGACCCTGTTTTTGGAAGACTTGATCCATCTACTAGATTAAAATCAAAAGTTGAGTTTCAGTTATAGAAGAGAGGTCTATAACTCATGCCAAGATTACATGATGCTATGCTAGGTAAAACAAGTTAGCTCATGCATGATTTTTTTTACTTTTCCCAAGATATTAGTATATGGGTTTGATATGAAAAGCATAAATATCTAGCAGACTTGGAATCGATCATTATTATGGTAGTAGTACATTATTGTTCATGTACTTTCATAATTACAGTTTGTTGGTATTTATATGCAATAAAAGTGTACAAAGCTCAAAGCAAGAATTGTGTGTTCTTGTTTTAAGCCAACCAAGGGTTGGAATAGCCCGAAAAAATTGAAATGGCATGTTAAACAATCAAAGATGGATTTGTACTGTTTTACATGCAAAGATATGTAAAAATGTGTCCAGGGAATTGAAAAAAAAAACTGGAAAACTTTCACCATCCATTAAGGCAGCATATTCAATAAATCAATAACTTGGCACTGCATCATCCTGTTAATGAAATATCACTATAGTAGAAAAGATAATTGATAAGCATATCAAAGTGGCAATGACATAAAGACATCACATAGAAATCAGCTTGCTTATCAATCAGGTAAACCTACAAGGTCAACACTGCATCAATTAGTAGATATAACTGAGAAGACACTGTAGTCTAAAGAAATAGCTCTGGTGGCTTTTCTTGATATTGTGAGTGCATTTAATAACACTCTTTATTAGACCATATCAGCTGTTGTTAGGGAAAAAGGAATTGACGACATTATTTGTAAATGAATCAATTTCATGCTGGATAACAGAATTCAAGCTACAGTCTAAAAGACTGTGGCTTCTTGACTTTCTGGAATGCTATCCACAATTCAGCCTACAGGAACTAGAGTGTAGATAGCACTCAATCTCTACTGCCACCAGGTCATCAGCATAGCCTTGAGTGAAAAAACCACATTCATTGAGTATCATCAGTGATGATCCTTTGGTGAGACTCAATGAATATGGCTCTTTCACTCAAAGCTTTGCTGGTGATTTTGTGATTATCATCTCTGGTAAGTACCCAGGATTAATTATGGAAGTCTTACAGAAAACTGCATTTTGTAGCAGAATGGTATCTAGAGAGGAGTTTGAATGTTAATCCTCAAAAGACCAATCTGGTGCCATTCTCAGACAAGAGAGATTTAAATTTTACTTAAAAGTTATTGTTGAAAGTGTTATTAATATTGTGAGTGAGGTTAAGTACTCTACCTTAGAGTTATACTGGGCAAAAAGTTAATCTGGAATCAACATACAGAAAATAAAATTACCCAGGAAAAGTGTTACTACTGTACTTAGCAAATTGCAACATGAATAATTTTAATACAAATATAACAAACATCACAAAGTCCAATATGTATATATTGTACCAAACAATCACCTAGATATTCAGGCTATAATACGCTGATGTTTCTATCTTAATACAAGTTACACACAACCACATTTTTCCATATGAAAAAACACTGTACCAAAAAGTGGTTCTTTTCTCCATTCTTTTACGTTTTCACTGCTGGTATTAGGGGGATACAGCCCACAGGCTGAGATTTCTCAGAGGATGGGTAAGCACATTATTGTGTTCCAGATCAAAATTTATTCTATCATATACTGCCTTAGAGAAAATATGGATAGAATTATGTAAATAAGAGGGTCTTCATATTATCTGACAGTCAAGCAGATATTAAGACAATTAATTCCACTCAGGTTAAATCTAGACTGGTGTGGAATTGCAAAACCCTTCTTAATGAGCTGGCTTACAGCAATAAAGTTACTTTGGTGTGGGTGCCAAGAAGTTTGGGATAGAAGGAAATGAGAATGTGAATGGACTTGCTAAACAAGATGCATCCTCACTTATGACAGTCAGAACCTTTCTGTGGAACTATAAGAAGTAAAAGGCCATTAAAAAACTGGAAGACTAAGGAAGCTATGGAATAGAACCAAAGAATATGAATATAAAAACACACACATACATTTATCCAAAACCAATAAAAAAATTAAATTCCATATATATATATATATATACCTATGGCTTCAGTTCCATATGAAACTAAAGCCATAGCTGAGTTCATAGGACATGAACATTCAAGACTGATAGTTAAAGAGTCTTCAATGAAATTTACATCTGACTTATTAAAGTTAGATAGGAATCAGATGAGAGTGATAGTTTTCTGACATGCACTATCATCTAAGTAACCATCTGTACAGAATGGGCATCTATAAAGGAGGACCAATTTGTTGGAAATATGGTATGATGGACAAAACTGCCACCTATTTTCTTTGGATACTGCTTTAAATAAGACATTATCTTGAGATTGGGGACTGAGCTTGAGACTGCATACCTAGAACCTGTAAAAAGCCTCTTATACTTTATTAAGAAAAGTGACTTCTACAAAGAAAAAAAGGGCTTATTGGGAGTGCAACATACCAATAGGTATCAGTACTGGAAGGTACAAGAAGGATGCCAATCTCAAAACAAAACAGAACAGATTTTTCTTGACTAATTTCTGGTAAATTGAAAAATTATTATATTCTAATAAATTCATCATTTTATAAATAAATAGATATTTATAATAATTTTATTAACTAGATTTTGTAAATTGTGTCTTAATACGAATATAAAAACACAGTTAAAGTTTACCTAGGGAACCCCAATAGCGGCACTTTGGTTAGGTTAGGTTAGGTTAGATTAACTATATTTTTAGTAGACGTTTCCTTTTTTTTTTTTTTTTGTTCAAGAACTACTGTGACTACCGTGACATAACTAGTGATGTTTGGAACTCGGCAGTCCCACTCTGGGAGGAGTCCGTCGGGACCACGAACAGTCAGAAGCACACCCATTGGGGTTCCCTAGGTATACTTTGACCAAACTATCCATTATATTTTGCAAAAATACAACCAACTGCAAATGCAATATAAAAAACACACACACGAAAACATCCACAAAATCGAATAAATCGAAACACCTTTTACGGCAGACGAAGTTCAAAGAATGCTAACATTTTCGAACCTGTTAATGGTCGAAAGTGAAATGCCATTTTACAACTTCCATCATTCACTTTTCAAACATTCCACTTTCAGTTGTCCCTGTCTGAAAATTAACTGGATTGAGAACATTATTGTACCATAAACTTCACCCATTGTTTATAAGCCATACACCAACGTTTTCTCTCTCAATGTTATTTACAATAGAGGCATATATTACCGAAATGCTAAATATTTAAACTCAGATTTAGTTTTTTTAATTAATTAAAAATGAATAAAAGTATATTTTTCTTTCTATAATTTACTTTTGATTATATTTTAAAGTATTTCTTTATAATAAATTACATATATATATAAATTTTGAAACAAAAGAGAAACAGATGATTTATACATAAAGAAACGTGGTATTAAATTCAAATTTGAAATAGACATATTTTTGTTATTAAATTACGAGATCAATAAACTTATTTCATCTTATTTTTCATAATATTTTAAAATATGACTTTTTATTAAACGTATATTTTATTTATTTAAATCATAAACGAAACACTCGGTTAATAATTTATACCAATAAAAATAAACGAAAAACTTACCCGCGACCTTTAATTTGAATCGTTTGCAAAATACGATTTTATAACCACCGCGACAGTTTCGTATTTGATAACATTTCGATGTTTAAGTCGAATCGATAAGTTTATAAAGAAGATGAATTTAAATATTTAAAAAATAAATAATTGATATAAAATGAATGGAAAAAATTGTAAATTTTAAAATTTTGAAATTCAGGCAACATTCAGCTATTTTAATTGTAAAAGATCGATAGTCCCGGAAGTTAGGCTGTTCTGTACTTGTGCTTTAAAGTTGTTTATCGAAGGAGTAAAAGAAGACATTTAATTATTGTTGGATTATAATAGAAGATATTGTGAAATGTTATTTATCTTCTCTGTTTTATGATCGTTTTAAGGAAAAAGCCGGTTATGCAATGGAAATCGTCATTAGTATTGGACCCGGGGACTAAAGATGGCACCGAATCGACTTGACTCGATTATGGTTGATTGTCGGCAAAGAAATTCTTCCTCCGCATCCAGCGATATTTAACAGTTTGTCTGTCCGTTCGTCCATACCTACTTTCAGTTTTCTTCTTCCGTTCATAGGCATTCCATGACTTCAATAGGAAGACCTAAACGACACCGAAAACCAAACTTCACGGAACAGGAAAAGATGATTGTTTTAGAAGAATTTGAGAAATGTAGAAATATCCTTCACGCACGTTCGTGTGACGGTGTCACGACGGATAGGAAACAAGCAGCGTGGCAAAGTATAGCCGAAAAACTGAATTCGTATAATAAAGCCGTGAAGCGTACGGGTGACGATATAAGAAGTAAATGGAAGAAAATGATAAACGAAGCCAAGAAAGAAGCGGTTCAACGTAAACGTAAAATGCCAAACAGTAATCGACCTTTGCCACCTATATCTACTATCTCTCAGAGGATCATAGATATGTACTCGGATTCTCCTTCGTTTGCGGGCTTAGCCGATAACGACTCGAATCCCGATATGAAACTAAAGTTTTTGAAACTTTTATGGGATGAAAGTGATAAAGAAGATAATAACGAAGATGCTGAAGATGAAACGAGCGTAGAAGATCATAGGGTTGTCAGTACGACGTCCAGTCCCAGAAAATCAAACAATTCCGTTTACCACGCGGACGAACCACCTGCAGCTAGTTCTTCTTATTGTCCGACTTCGTGGCCCACACCTGTTATTGACTCTATATCTTCCCTGTCTGTAGTCCAAAACGGACGAGGACTCCAACATCATAAACAGCTTAGCGAAGATGATGTGCATTCTCTTCAGCTGGAAGTATTAAAGATGGAGAAGGAGAAGCTGATAATGGAGATGAGAGTGTTGGCAAAAAAAGAAGAGAAGTTAGATCTGGAAATGAATTATTGGCGCCACAAAAACATTCTCATACAATCCGCATCCGATATGTAGTGTTTGATGTGGATAATTTTTTTTTTTTATTAATTGACCAAAGTTATATAAATTGAAAAAAAAGCTTATAATTACTTAACATTTTATTTGATAGAAAGGTTTTTCCATTATTATTATTATTATTGTTGTTGTTGTTGTTGTTTGAATTTGATGGATGAAGTTAGGATCATAACGCTACTAATTTCATAAATATATTTTATTCCTAATAGAATTATTATTATTTAGTAGGGGAGGGATTAAGTTATTATTATAATTATTATTTGAAAAATTAAATAATGATAATGTGACTTTTTTGAGAGAAAAGGCAATATTTGTTTTAGTTTAAAAATTATGAAATAATTTCATGTGGTTTTATTTTTGATTTTTTCTGGGTGATTTAAAAAAATCAAGTTTTAGAAATGGAGCTACCTGATATTCGACCAATTAATGTTAGACCAATTAATTAGAACTTCCAAAACATCCGACTTTAACGCGAAATATTGAGAAAAAATATATATATAAATAAATATATATCTTCATCTCAGGACTTTGCTGTACTTTTAACGCCTTCACGTGAAAATCATGTCACCAATTTTTATGTCGACTTGTCTCTATTGAAAATAGAGACCTGTTTGGTGCATAAAGTATACGAGCTTCTCTATTGAAAGGAACAATAATAAAAAATAAATAAAAAAGGCAATTTTATTTCTTTATTTTTTAGGATTTTATTTAATAAAAGATTATCGTCTCGGTAAAACCTATTTTTTATGTTTTAAAGACTGTGGTGGTTAATTTTGGAAATATCCAATATAACCCTAAAGTTTAAAAAAAAGAAACAATGTGTACGGAAAAGTTACAGAAGAAAAAATAATAATAATTATTGTGATTGTCATTATATGTAGACGTTGATGTGATGTAATTACAAGGAGTGTTTTATTGCTTCAAGCAAAGGTCTCTAGACCAAATGATCGGATGTCATTTTTTTTTTTACTCTCCCGTCTAATGACAAAAAATTGTATATACAAGAGATGACAATAAATAGGTTGTTGTAAGTTGTCCCCTGCGAAATCTTGTAATATAAAATTTCACAATTCTCGGTAAATTTTTGAAATTCAGGCAACATTCAGCTATTTTAATTTTTATCGTTAATTTCTCCGAATTTGTAGATTTTAGGCTTTTTATTTTTTAAGAAAAACAATTTGACTGTAAAAAAAAATTACAATTTAATGAATATTTAAAGTTAGTTGTAATTTCAGGTAGCATTCAATTGTCTTAATTTGTAATTTTTAGATACCAGTAACATTAATTTCTCTATTTTATAAAGTTTTAAAATTTCACTTTAAAAAAAAATAATTAAGCTTATTAAAGCTTTATTTAAGTTGTAAAATTTGTAATTTAGGTAGCCAAATTTAAAACTTATTGTTCAAAAATCGGTCAGTAGATCTAGAAATGCCCAGGAGCCATTTTTGACGCGCTCACTATTAACATTTACAGTCGACCCCCCCTATAACACTGTTGATTATTCCTTTTTATATGAATTCCATGTTGTACAAGTCACTTAGATTTTACAAATATGTGATCCATTCACAGCCCGGCACACGTATTTGTAAAATCTAAGTGACTCGTACAACATGGAATTCATATAAAAAGGAATAATCAACAGTGTTATAGGGGGGTCGACTGGTATTGTAATATACAGTACATGTTACATCTAATACTTAAATTCGCTTTAGCAATCAATGAAAATTGACTTAATCAGTGGTTA